TATTCATATCACCTAGAATAATATTCATATCGCATGTATGAATACTTGTTCGTCTGTATAAAGAATATGTGATCATACAAGTGAATACTAGTTCATGCAATTTGAATACATCAAAGTTTCAGCTCAACTTATTTTCATCACAACAAAAAGTAGCCAATCTCATGTGATGTTTTAGTGAAATTTTGAATATTGAGACAGTCAATAACTTTATTTGAGGTTATGTAATGTATTAAAGTCAACGAACTGTATATTTCTCTTGCTTATATGTTGGGGGGTTAATTGCAAGGATGGTCACTGGGTTTACTAAAACCGTTCATGTTTGGTCACTGCAAATATTTAATTCCGTTCATAGTCACTAAGATTAGTTCAATAGTTCAAGTTTGGTCACTCTCCGTTAGTCTCCGTTAGTTTTTGCTGATGTGGCAATCAACTATTATAGTTGACCGTTAATTGAGTGACGTGACCAATAAAAAAATATTTTTTTTTAAATATTTACAATTTCCATCTCATTTTACAACTATTAAAAAATAAAAATAAAACTTACCTCCCCTACTTCACCACCGTCACCTTCATCCCTCACCGTTAGAATGGGCAGAGCTCCTCTGGCGAACTCCCTCACCGTCAAAACTGCAGCCGAAATAACCACTCCACCAACAAAAGCACCAAGGAAGAAGACACACAACAAACTAAGAAGCTAGGAAAAGTACAGGGTGCAGGGCAAGCGAAAAGAAACAAGTCCAGACCTTGATTAAGCAAAGGTGACTCCACAAATCTAACAAAAAACACTTCTGGAAAGTAATGGTGCTTCAATTGGACAAAGCAACCTCTAAATAGACTTTGACTTTGCTTTGAATCAGAATCCTTATTAAGACAAAACCCTTCACCAACACAAAAACCTTGGAATTAAACCCAGGAAAAGAGTGCGACGGGTTCGGTGGGAAGATGAGGAACGGTGATGGCAGTCTGCAGCGGCAACTAGTAATGGCCGGAGGGAGCTCGACTTCGACAGTTGGGATGAACTCACATGACGAAGAACTGGCGAGCAAAGATGATTTGCGAGCCGGAGGTGGAGGAGAGTTGGCCAACGATGAGAAGGCGGCGGTAAGCAGTGCTATGTGGTTGGTGGCCGGCCGCTTCGGAAGGGGAAATTTTAGGGATTCAAAGAATCTGGAGCCAAAGAAAATGATTTGAAGAAACGAGAGTTGGGAAAGTTAGAGTGATAAAGAGAGAGTTCAATGACTTTTGATCAGGAGAGGGAGTTCGCCAGAGGAGCTCTGCCAATTCTAACGGTGAGGGATGAAGGTGACTGTGGTGAAGTAGGGGGGGTAAGTTTTATTTTTATTTTTTAATAGTTGTAAAATGAGGTGGAAATTGTAAATATTTAAGTTTTTTTATTTTTTTATTGGCCACGTCACTCATTTAACGGTCAACTATAATAGTTGACTGCCACATCAGCAAAAACTAACGGAGACTAACGGAGAGTGACCAAACTTGAACTATTGAACTAATCTTAGTGACCATGAATGGAATTAAATATTTGCAGTGACTAAACATGAACGGTTTTAGTAAACCCAGTGACCATCCTTGCAATTAACCCTATGTTGGGGGGACATCAATCTTAATTTGCATAAGGAGAGGGGAGGCCAAGCATGCCTTCTGCAACATGTGGACCTATAGCACAAGGAGAGGGGATCAACCCTACATAACGTAGTTAAATGAACCTGCAGCACAAGAACATGACATTTAGTGCTACCTTCTAACTACTCTCTCTCATGTTGTCTCTCTTGAGGTCGTGAATACTAGTTGTAGTAACCAGAATACCAGTTAAAACAATTTGAATACAAGTTATATGTGTATTTGGCTTTCTCAGAGTCTAATACTTGTTAAAAACGTTTGAATACTAGCTCGAAGGTTATAAATACTTGTTACACACTTATTATTACTACTTCGCAATGTGTCATACGAACTCTATGACAAGTTTTGATGAACTATCATGCATGTGTGTTTTGATCTATTGTTCATGACGTTTTAAACTAGTATCCAAGCTGTTTTGAACTAGTATTCATGGTGGTATTCACATTGTAATGAACACTTAGCATTCCTGATGTTGTGACCTAGTATTTTATTTTTATGAACTAGTATTCAAAATGCCTGACCTAGTATCCATGGGTGTTGAAGTAGTATTCACATTTTGTCGAACACTTGGTAAAATATGAGCTATATGAATATTAGTCTTGGCGATATGAATATTAGTTCAGGAGATAATAATATTAGTTCAATTTGTATTACATATATTATTCTCGACATTTGTAGTATATATGGCTCACTGTACAACAGCGGACGTGGCAAGCATACATGGCATGAAAAAAATACCTTTGAGTACTTGTCGTTAGCTATAGAAATAAAAATGTTGATGCTACAACTTTCATTAGACGTAAATGCTTTGCTTGCAATAAGTCGTACTCAGGTGGTCACTGTGCAACAAATAGCAAACTTAAATGACACCCGATATAATTAACCTTTGCCCCGCCTAAGTGACCACTATATGTCGTCTCAAAACAGATCAAACAGGTAGATAAAACGAATGAGGTAGATATTACCATCCTAATCATGATTGGCAAAAACCAATTATCTTTTCATTGCAAAAGCCCACTTAATATAATAACGAAGCGATTTTGTAATGATTTGGACGTACCGTGTCAGCTCAAACTCTGGTACCCGGTTTTAACAGTCTGACCAGCCGACACATTATTGTTTATAAAACCATGCATCTCTTATTTTTTATTCTTACATCAATTTCATTCAACCTCTTCTTCTATAATTGGAAAATTAAGCTATAATTAGCTAGTCGATTAGTAATAATAAACAGAATAACAAACAAATTTTTTTAGGGAAAATACTAATTATTAGCCAAATTTTTCCGCATTCGTAATTATAAACAAACTTATCGAATTGTAAATAATTAGTCAAACATTAACTCTCCGTTAACAGTTTTGTTAGTAATGTTAACTAAGCATCACGATACTAAGAACATCCACATCAAGCTATCATATTCAATTTCAAAGTGATATGACAATGAAATGCAATTGCATTTTAAATTGCATTGATGAAAGTCCCTATTGCAACAATGAAAGCTACCATTTCTTGCAATTCCATTTGCAATTCCACATAGGCATCCATGGATTTTTATTTATTTAATGTATAGATAACACGATAAAATTTTTTATTTTATTAACAAATAAGTTGTGCCCATGTATACAATTGCAACTTGCAAGTGAATTGCACTGACGCAGGTAAATCATAAATGAAAATAATGTAAGTATAAAAATGGAATTGCAGGTTTTAGATATGGATTTAGGGTGGATTTTTGTGTTGTTGTAGAAGCAAGTGAGGGGCGGATAGTGCACGGAGATGATGAATAAAAGAAGAAGTTTGAATTTGTATTGTTGTTAAGATTCGAATTGAAGAAGGAAACTCAGGAATGGAGAAGAAACGAATGACGCACGAGGAAAAAGATTGAAGAAGAAGTTTAATTATGTTTTGTTTGTTTCAATGCTTTATTTAAAATTATTAATTAAAATTTAATGAAAATATTTTATTAATTGAGCTAACGTTGATGTGTCAAACAAGTGGACTGACGATTATATTACGTGTATCTCTGTTAATTCTAACATTAACTTTAACAGAAGATGTCTAATATTTTGTGACTTTATAAAAGGTTCGGCTAATATTTTTTATTTTATAAAGTTTGACTAATATTTAAAATGAGAAAAAAATTGGCTAAAAAAAATAGTACTTATCCATTTTTTTTATTATTGTTAGTTTGTTAATGCTATATTCTTTGTCTTTTAATTTTCTGATAATGAAAATTATTATTATATGGTTATTCATGGACAAAAAGAAACTAAATATTTGAAAAAGGAAAGAAAAGAAAAAAAGAAACCCAGAAAGAGCTAGCGAGAAGCAGAAAAGCAGGGGAGAGAGAGAGAGCGGGGGTGGATCGGGAAGAAGAGTGAGGAGCAAAGCTTCATCTCAGGCTCAGCAGCAGCAGATCCCATTATTCCTCCTCTCTCCTAGTTCCATCTTCATTCCCCAGCCCATTCCCCGTTTCACCATTTTTTGGTCACCTTGAACTCCCTTCGTTGGCCGCCATTGCTGCTTCTCACCTACTCTGCCCTTTTGTTTTTCTCTCTCGGGTACTGAAGCCTCTCCTCTCTATCGCTCGCCTATCTGTCTGGTCTATTTTGTTCTTTTCCTTTTCTAATAATCTTGTTTGGGGTGTGGTGGGTGTAGGTGTCTCCGCTAGCTAATCGACGCTGCTTGCCTGCCTGCTTATGAATCTCCGTTGATTTGAGAGAGAGAGAGAGAGGCGACTCCATTGGCTGTTTGTTCGGGTCGGGCGACTCGCCGAATCTCGAATCGGTCAGTCCCTGGCCTGCCCACCTCACTGCCGCCTCGCCTCCCCTTCCTTGCTTTGAGATATCCGACCACCCCCCATTTCCCTCCTAGACTTCTTCTCCCACTTTCTTCACACCCATTCCTCACTTGGATTCCCATTGCTCCACAAAGTAGAAAAAAGGGGGGAAAGGAACGGAATCAAGGAAGCTGATTTCGCTTCCTTTGCTTACTACCGTTGCCGTTGGAGGTGCTTTCTAATTCTACCCCTTCCCCTTTCCTCTAAAGCATACCGCTAGGTCGGAAGCGGCGACGGAGCTTCAGATACAGCTCTCTCTCTCTCTCCCGCCTAAGCCTTAGCCTTAGCCTTAGCCTTAGCCTTGCTGCAGTTAGCTATCCCCGCCCCCATTCTCTGTTACTATCCCCCTATGAATCTGCCTCCCATTACCACCCATACCACCAAACTAATTGATTTCTTACGACATTTCTGCCAATCTCCTCTCTTGCGGAATTTTTATATACTTGTGTGAGACTCGACTCGACTCAGCATATCATATTTATCTTCCTCCTCCAACTGGGAAATGAGGCTTCTTCTACTGCGACGTATGGCGATGCTGCTCCTCTCTTTGCCTTTCCTGTGCTCCCTCCACCTGCTGCATAGTACAGCGCAGCAAACTCCCCGCGACCTTGACGCCCTCCTCCAAGACTATGCCTTGAGAGCATTTGTCCGTCCAAAGACCGGCCTCACTTACGACGGCCTGCTTCCTTCCAACTTGTCCGGGATTCAGATTGCGGCCATGCGCCTCAGGAGCGGCAGCTTGCGGGCCCGCGGCGTTGCCTCCTACAAAGAGTTTCAGATACCTCAGGGAGTCATCGTGCAGCCCTACGTGGAGCGCCTCGTCTTGGTCTACCACAATTTGGGCAACTGGTCGCTTGCCTACTACCCTCTCCCTGGCTACAACTACCTCGCTCCCCTCCTGGGTCTCCTTGCCTACGATGCTTCCAATCTGTCCGCCACAAATCTGCCGGAGCTGGATTTCAGAGCATCTGGCAATCCTATAACCATCAGGTTCCCGGACGTCAAGCCTGCGCCTCCGGGGTCCGTACCAAAGTGCGTTTGGTTTGATTTGAATGGATCCCCGAGTTTCAGCAATGTGGTGGCCGGCGGGGATGTGTGCTCCACCGCCCAGCAGGGACATTTCTCTATAGCTGTTGAGTCAGTTGCTCCATCACCGGCGCCCGGAATCTCACCTTCTCCAACTGGGGTGCCCTTACCTCGCCGCCAAGGGAAGAAGGGGAGTAACTCCAGCACCAAGGTTTTGATTATTGTAGCTTCTGTCCTGGGAGGGTGGCTGCTACTGTCACTTCTGGTGTTCCTGGTGTTGTGGCTGCGCAAGCTGAAGCGAAGGAAGAGGATGCAGCAAATGGAGAGAGCTGCTGAGGCTGGGGAAACCCTGCGAGTTACGCCTGTTGGGCAAGCCAAAGCTCCAGTAGCAATGGTGACCAGGACGCAGCCCAGCTTGGAGAGTGAATATGTGCCATAAACTATCTGTTGCACAAGCCGACTTCCCACAAATCATTCTTGCTCAAGGTAAAAGGATTGCTTGCTTTGCTACAGCAACTTAGAAATTCTTCTGTGATTTTCGACTTTCTGATTCTTTTGTTTAAGGTAGTGGGTCTGTCGGCCTCCTTGTTGGTTATGATTATGAAGTGGGTATGACGAGATCCAATTCTGGTCATGTCATTTTGTGTAAATGTGATGTCACTCTAGGGGTAGATTAGGGGTTGCTGAATTATGATTCATTGTGGTGTTGATCGAGTTTTAAACCAAGAGGGATTCCATTCATTTACATTTGCCTATGTGATGAGTTTCAATTTGGATGCATTTTGTTTTCATTTGGACGAGGAAATAAAACATTTTTCTTGTGCATTACGTTTCAATGCTGCTTCCTGGAAATGCCAACTGTCTGCAGCTGTTCATTGTGCAAAATAGAAAGAAAACAGAGGAGAGAAGCAGTAGAGTAGGGTAGGATGAAGGGATTATCAGTGCAAGGACAAAAGAAGTTTGGAATTCCATTTCTTTAATAATTGTCCGGTTTAAAGTAAGTTCCCACCATATTATTCTGCATAGACTTAAACCAAGAATATTAGGAATATGGAAGCAACAAAACCAACAAACATGCCCACCACCAAGGCTCCACCCAACATGCCCACTATCAATTACTCGTGCGCGTTGCTGCAACTGCAACTGCTACTCTTCCCTTCACTTCTCTGTATCTGTTTACAGACATTTACAGTGTGCCATGTCCTACGTATTCAGAGCGCAAGCTATCATCACAGAAACCAGCCCACCCTCCCACATTCACTTCCCTTCCTGCCCAGTTTTCTCATTCCTGACGCGTATCACCCTCAGCCTCTGGCATCTGATCTAAAGGGACCTAACACAATCAGTTCCTAGAAGAGGGCACATCTATTTTCTATCATATGTCGGTACTTCCCCTCCCTCACTGTTATTGTATTCGCATCGACATGTTAAGTTAACAAACCTCAAGCAAACAATGAGATTATGAAACAACATGGCCACTGACCTGAATTCATATGTTTGTCCGTAGACCAACATTACACCCATATCATGGAGGAAGAAAGTCTCCAGTCAAAATCATACTACACCAAAATATTCATGGCAATGCCACCCACAGTTGGGAAACACACACGGCTGAAATGAAAGCAACAAATGTCTCCTAAGATCTTCTTCAGCATCCATCATGCGATCACTTTATTCCTCTGACAGACTGTTCCTCATCCAGTTGCAACCCCAATGCCTAAGACATCATAAAGATTATGCTTCTCAACATCAATGATTCATGCATCTGCAAACATGGATATCGAAAGGGCAGTGGGGAAAAGGAACACCATAAAACCTTGCCCAACCGCTAAACACCACAACTTTGACTTGCTATCGGCATAACACTAATTTTCCATAATCTACCTCCACCAAGCATATCAACTGATGTAGGTACAAATGTGACTCGTAAGATCACAGAAATGGAACAAAACTAATCATTCTTGTTGAAGCACTTTCTCAACACCATCAATTATAGATGTGTAGAAGGGCGCTAAACCGACCTACAGTTGCACACAGTATATACGTGGTAACAACTGCGGACTGCCTTTTACCAACTCTTATTCTTTCAGGACCATTCAATAAACAAATAATAAGTCCATTCTATCCATTCACTTTCTCATGGCACGGAGCGGTTCAGCAAGAACCCCTTATTATTCAGCACATTCCTTCATTTTTTCCACATTCCATGAATGAGTTTTACAAAGCACACTAAATTTACTATCCTTGCCTCTTGTCCTTACAAAGGTAACGCACACACCAAATAGAACAGTAGATTATCCTATGAGAGGATTCCAAGGCAGTCATAATTCCCAGGCAGAAGGCAAAAGCTAGACCATTTGTTTATTTTTGCGTGAAGTCACTACTCACACTAATACTAACAAGGATCCACAGTTTGATCTAGGTAGAACCTAAAGGGGAAACCTCTCGCCCAAGTCACCACCACCATGATACTAAAATAATGAAGGGACAGATTAAGAGCTAGAGGTCAGAACTTCATATGCTGGTTTCTAATAATGTACCGTCTTGTGAGCATTCAACCTAAACTAAACGCAAGGCCATGCCACTCACAACCAGAACCAATCACAACGCTTGTAGGCTTAAAAACAGCATCAATTGACCATTTCACAATAAACAAGGATAGGTAATATGTTGGCTATGCAGCAACCATCTACTGACCAATAATGGACGGTAAGGCCTACAAATCCATTTCGCAAATGGAATTGCGCTGAGTAGCCGCATCATTGCATCATAATTGTCACCAATCGTACGCGTGCGTCTATGGATGTAATGATTTAATCAAGCAATTTGTCTTGAAAGCAAGAGGAGGATGCGATGTAATACAGAGATAAGTAAGGGGCAGAAACTAGGGTTCAAAAGAATTACCGAGGATCTAATCCGAAGGAGAAGACAGATTCTCGACAATTTTCTTATCCCTTCGTTCCATGGCGACATCCCACATGTCGTTACCGATGTGCTTTGGCTGCGTAAGAAGAAACACGGGGAGTTTTCAGGTCAGGGGATATAGATGAGCAGAGAGAGAAAGAGAGATCTGATCGGAAAGAGGAATACAGACCCTGCCATGGAAGGCTTTGTGAATGTAATACTGTGAGTTACCCATGATACAGAGCATCCCGCCGATGATCCCCAGCGGCAGAGCTGCTTCCAACCACACCCACGACATCGTTGCTCCTTCGGCTGCTTCTCTGGATCGCGATATCGGCTGAACTCGAATCGTTTCTTGGCTTCTTCCTTCCTTCTTTCGATAATTGAGAATGACGCCGGGGAGTTTTGTTTTGGGTTTGGCGGGCTTCTTTCATTTCCGCTCCATTATACTGGGCCTCGGGGCCCATCAATATGCAAACTGATTGCTGGTCCGTAATCAAACCAAAATTTTGCTCAGGCCCGCGAAGCATGAGTGGGACCCACAGCCGAACTGCCTTTCGGCCTTTTTTAACCATTGTTTTTTTTTATTTTTATGGGAAGCCTTTTTTAACCATTGTTACTACTTACTGGTTACTATTTAGTATTTAGACTAACTCCAACCTACAAAGTCAAATTTAGGTTTTCAAACTCAATTTTCACTTCAATCCTAAAAAAGTAAATTTAACTTCTCACCTTTCTTTTTTATTTATTTCAATAAACCATACTTATTTTGCCTCTAATTTTTATATTTCACTTTTATTTTTTTATAAATTTTTATTAATTTTAAAACAAAATTTTTTATATAAAAAATTCTGAGACAAATTTGTTTTCGAAAATTTAATCGTTAATTTTTTGCCGTTAACTTCGGGACCACTCCAAACATGACTTTTTTTTTAGCGTTACCAAACGTTGTTTTTTTGTCATTTTGTGCCTCATATGTCTTATAAATTAGAGATGGCAATGAGTCGGGTTGGGTTGAGTTTTGCCAAACCCAAACCCAAATCCATGAGTATATCCACCAAAAAAACCATACTAAAATTCATTGGGGATAGAAAACTCAAATCCAACCCAACCCACTGGGTATCCGCAGGTGCATGGATAACCATGGGTTTTGTGGTAAAAATTCATAACAACAATATTTTGTCAAAATAAAAATCTAACACCCATTTGTCCATACAAATTATCCATACAAAAAACACCAATCTAATACATACAAGCAAACCACAAATTATCCATACAAATTGTTCAACATTAACGATAAACATCAGCGAAACACGATTAATAGAACACTTCTTCTTCATTGAGAACTTGGAAATTGTCATCTTAACTTTACTCTCCACTCCATCATATCAACTTCATTATATACAATTAGTAAGAACAACAAATTAGATGGGGTACGAGTTCAGGTTGGAACAGGTTGGATATGGCTAAACCCAAACCCAACCCAGCATGCAAAACAGTAGAACGGGTTTAAACCCATATCCGCCATAATCCATCAACGCGGGTTTTATCCGCTTTGACCGGGTTGGGTTGGGTGGGGTATCCGTGGATAGGGTTATGTTGCCATCCCTATAATATAAATGACAGTTCTTCATTTTTCATCAACTCAACTGAAACTTCTTCCCATTTCTAAAACAAACACATTCATCATGAGTATCTCAGATAGCCCATCATCTGGAGAAGAAGAAGAAACCGAAGAGTACAAAAGGTTTCACAACCTGCGTTTGAGTTTAGTCAACAGGAGGCTAGCTGAAGGTTCATCAAGTCGACGTCAAACTACAACCCGAACTCACATTGATCGTGAAAGGGTCGAATGTAATCAACGTCTTATGAGGGATTACTTCAATCAAAATCCAGTATACAATGCTTGGATATTTAGAAGACGCTATCAAATGCAGCCAATATTACTCCATCGCATTATGGCCGACAGTGTGGGTTTGACCCCTCATTTGCTCTAAGGCGTGATAGCTTTAGTCAAATGTCACTATCTCTAGAGTATAAGTAGTCTAAATATATCAAAGTAGAAATAATAGGTGTAAAACAGACGTATAGCATACATCAAGTGTATGCTTGCATTTGCCATATATATATATATATATATATATATATATATATATATATATATATACATATCGGGTCAGATTGATGTACTCATGGAGTATAGTATACTCCACGTACTACTCATGATATATCACAATTTAGACCATGAATTAAATTGAGTTTTGGGTATGATGCTATACCATAACCTCTAAATGATAAATCCCAGGCCCCAATTCTCTAAACTCAAACCCAAAGTTCAATTTAATAGAAAACATTAATTGACCGTTGAGATTGGTCGGAGCTCATCGAAGGGGATCTAATGGCCAGATGACCTGGAGTATACTATACTCCTGAAGTATACCAGTCATTACCATATATAATATGGTTGTCTTCGGTGCACTCACTTTTTTGGGTGCCATCAATGCACGCATCTCATAATCGTCATTCTGAGTAGGCGATTAATGTGAAAAAGATGTCAATCATCACTTGAGATACAATGGACAAGAAACCACATGAATTTGTACAAAAAAATATTCAAGATTTACTTTAATTTGAATGATTTAGCGTTTAGGGATTTAGGGTTAGGGTTAGGATTTACAATTTGGGGTTTACGGTTGGATTCAAAATTGAAGGTTTAGAACTTAAGATAATGCATTGATTAGTTGTGGTCCTATGTTATATCAGCATACTATACTAATATTATGAGTTTAAATTCAAATTTTGATGTCTTATGACTATTTTTAGAGTTGGGTGCATTGAATGCAGCCAAAAGAGTGAGTGTACCGAAGTAACCACCTATATTGTTATATATATATATGGCAAATGCTAGCTTACGCCTGGACGTACGCTAGCCTACCATACGCCTGTTAAGTTTTATTATTTAGACAATAAATTAGCCGGAGTTTGGGGCATAATATTATACCCTAACCCCTAATGGATGAACCCCAATCCCTAATTCACTAACTTAATGTATGTGTGTATAATGTAGCCGTGTATGAGTTAAGCAACAAGAATAAGATTAACTTGGAGGGTTTAGGCTCTTCCGTGGACTAATCCTATTGATGAAGGAAACCACGTTAAACCATGGTCCATGAAACCGTATCGTACCAGCGGTTCAACCACGAAATACCGATATCGGATGATAAATCAGTAGGCGGTATTTACTGGTCTAACGGTTGAACTATGCTTTTTTTTTTTTTTTTTTTTTGACAAAAGATAATCAGATATATTGATTCAAAAGATAGTTACACCCTGGAAAGCAGCCAGGTCTGCAAATCAAACACACGACTCGCAGTCGGGGACAATGAAAGGGCTTTCCTAGCCACCATATGGGCTACCCTATTGTTACTCCGACCTACAAACCGAACTCTAAATCCTGGATGCGAGGAAAAACAAGATACGACTTCTTCAAGCACAGCTCCCATCCGACTATCTGCTCTATCCGCCCGAGCGATCTTATCAATGACGACCTTGGCGTCCCCCTCAAAGCAGACATCCATGAAACGGTTGAACTATGCTTAAACCACGGTTTTATCATAAAATATCATACTATTGACTTTTCCGATACGATATCCGTTACGGTTTCATAGACCTTGCGTTAAACTTCGTGTCTTTGCTCTTGCTCTTCATTAGATTGGACATATATCTTCGTGTCTTTGCTCTTGCTCTTCATTAGATTGGACATATATCATATTTTTAGTTTTTGTATCCCTTCCAAGATTCTTGTCTATCCGATTAAAATATTTGGTAAAATTTGATATAAGGAAGGAAAAGAAGCTGCGGGGAAGACCATGGTATGAGCACTTGAATGATCCTTTTAACATCTTGATTAAAGCTGACTTGCCAGCAAATTTTGTCTAGAACTTTGTAAATGTCGAATAGAGAATTTGACAAATTAACCATTGAATATGTGACCTATTCAAAGGCAATTGTCATTCTTTATTTCTCCATTTTACAAAGTATTCTCTTTCTTCCCCATCCGCAAATCATTCCTCTTCCAAGTTACCTTTCGGATATGGAATACAATTTGAGAGCAGTACAAAATATTGTTGTCAAAACCGGACCGGATAGCGATCCGGATTAGTGAGAGGTTTAGGATTTATCGGATGACCGGTATGAAACTGGCAATAAAACCAGTGACAAATAAAATTTTCAAATAAAATAAATAATCATGACTTCATGTAACATCTAAAAATTATTACTAGTTTTTAAATTGAGAATTCTATATCTTATTTACATATTCAATTGAAGAATTCAAAATTAAGGGATTGAGAAGAAGAGGAAAGTAATTAAAGTAACAATTTTAATAAAAATGAATCAAAGTAACAAAATGATGCCTAACTAATAGCTATTACTATTAATAATACAAGATTTATTTGGGGGAAAGGAATTAAAGAGGAGAAGAAGAGAGAGAACGTGAAACGTGATCGAGTAGTAAAAAAAGAAAAAGAAAAAGGAAAGTGGACAAGAAAATAAAGAAGCATTCATTCTTATTTCCAATTATATATCTCGGTTTCTAAAGATAAGTAATAATTATCTATAAAAAAGGTAAGTAATAACCCAAAACCGCCGGTTTGGGTTAGACGGTCCGGGCGGTCAACCGAATGAACTGGTTAATAACCGGACAGGTCAATTTTCTTATCGCTTAGAGGCAGTCGGAACCTGGTGAGTGGCCGGAGCCGGCTAACCGCGGTCTGACCGGCAGGTCTAGGCCGGTTTTAATAACAATGATACAAAGAAAACACATATTGTACTGTCATCAACGAAGTTCTCATCATCGAAATTTTCAAAATTTCCATAGACCGGAACCTTTTTTTTTTTTTTGCAAAGAGCAATTCGAGCCATCATACTAGAAATTATTATTTACGATTGTTGATACTTTTGGGACGAGGGTGTACCTACAATAGCCAGAGACCAGGTGACTAGGATTATGATAGAGTCGTGAACTACATTCACTTTCCATAAGAATATTTTCAACCTATACAAAGCCTTGGGTTACGGAAAATTTATTTGTAAGATAAAACTATCACCACTTTAGGTTCTACGTTGAAGAACACTAAAACATACTTAGAAGCTTTTGGAAGAAAGAAGAAAAATAGGTTTGATCGTATGCGACATCATCCACCCCACACAAATATATATAGAGGGACTTGAATCCATGCATTGTTTCATGAAAGGTTGCATTTATCCATATGAAATGTTGCCCTTATCAATAAGTTCTTCCTTATCCATAAGAATCGTTTGTATCTATAAGATCATCCTTATCCATAAAAAAATACAACCACCATTAGGATCAATGTCGTATCCTCCCAAAATGGATGAAAACCCCGTATAAGTCAATGCATAATGCATTGTGCCATAGAGATTTTCTAGTATATGCATAATTTCATGCCAATGATGAGCACTATGATTACTCGTATATATACCGACATAAATGTCATACCACATATGTGATATATGATCTTACGCAAGTGATTGCATACATCAAGCACCCAATCAACATAGAATACTCTAGTTGTGAAACAAGTTGACCCGTATTAACCATATATAAGTTCCATTCTTGGATACACAGAGGGTTTTAACTCACGACTGGGGGAGCAAACTCCTCTTCTGAGGGAGGGAGCTAGCATTGTTGAACTCAAATTTTAGAGAGGAGAGCCCACGTCCAAGCTAAGGGGTAGAAAAGGGCAAAAAACAAGGCGCTGACTAAGCCCTTGTAATCTTCTCTAGTATTAAGTTTGAGGTTCAATCTTTGTATTAGTACCTCTTACCATATGGATTATGATGGCTGGCAAGCTGGCCTGCCAAAAGAAACCAAATCAATGGCGGTTGCATGCATGCGTAATTGTATGTCTATTTATCTCTTTCATACATATATAGGATTGAAAGAACCAAAGGTATGAACGTGGAGTAAAGGTCATGGGTTGTGGGTTGTCTTTTCTGTAAGTTTACAGCGGGAGATGATGAATAGGCTAAGAATTTGGTCTCTTGGTGGCAGATGTACCTTAAGTTTTGTGATTTTCTTTATTTGAGAAATCTAGCAGAGAGGGTGAGTATGTGTGGAATTGAATCAAATTGTCTCCTTGGGTTGGTTAGCTGGCTGGCCTTGGCCTCGTTGGTTGGATGTCTTAGTATTGTATAAGGTTTGGGAAGGTATTTCTTTTTTTTTGGGTGAGGTTAATTAGCATATGTTTGTTCTTTCTTTTGGGGGATGTTGGGGAATGCAATATTGATAATACATTCATTTGGATTTATTTTTGTGTTACCAAGATTTTGTAGGCTTGGCCTTTTATGTTATATATATATATATATATATATATATATATATATATATATATATGGTGCCTTCTACGGTACCCCGGGTGAAATCCTGGGTACCGCATACCTTGATTATGAAAACATACCCTAACCGGGCATGATACTATACCCTAACCCTTAATGAGTGAACCCTAGGTCTTAATTATCTAAATCATATATATATATGTACACATATGGATAAGATGACATTAATTATCCTTAGGGTATGTGATTCATTTATAGGTCGTTGGTTGAAGAGGGATGAATGATGATGCATGTTGGGCTCCCTTTGATATGGTTGTATTTTGAGTGTTGGAGAGTGGTGTTTGTTATCGGCTATGTCTTAATTCATTCACTCAAAGAGACGAATTCTTCTAACAGATTATTTCATTCACAAATCAAACATGTAAATAAATACTTGAGTTTCAATAACAGGAAGAGAACTTGAATTGAATTGAGACACCAAACAAGCCCCAACTCAAGCTATTCAGACACTTAATCCGAACCTAATCCAAGAACTCCCAAAGAACTAACAAGTTCTTACTGAGTTGAGGAAACCGTCAAGTTTTCCATTGACAGGAGTGGTCTTTATATAGAATCAGCAACTCCATTCTTCCGTCTCTTTCCTCTTCAATGCTTTTTACCGTTTGATCGAAGTAATGAAGGGAGAGAGCTGATGCACGAGAGACCTGCAGAACCCTTGACTGTTTGATTTTGATGATGATGAATGGAGGCGAAGACGCGACTAGGGATCTTGACGAGGTCAGGGAAAACGTTGCGCATCTGGTGGGCCTTTTTGAATGAGTAGGCCTCTTGGTTATGAGAAGAGGGACGAGGCAAGGCCCAACAGTGTTTGTGGGTTGGATTATATGATTGTTGTGTTGTGGACTGAAAGGTTGTTATTCAAGTATATATCAATCATTTGGTTGCTACTCATTATTCACATTATTATAGTCTGGTTGGTATGATGATGATGCTTCGTTCCATATGCTTTGATGATGATGCTCCGTTCCATATGCTTTGGGCCCGTTTAGTATTGTTGCTTGTTTTTGTTTTCTGTTTTGTTTTATGAAATTTGGAAAACCAAGAAAAAAAATCATGTTTAGTTGGGTTTTTATTTTCTGTTGTGAATCAGAGTTGCACAACAGGGCCCAAATATGAGAAACAACAATTTATTGCTTTGGATCTGATTCTTAAACATGTTGCACACGGGATTCCTACTGGTTGGGCACTTGATTTCATTAAACAAGACCAGTTTTCGGATCCCCACAGAAGCAATTTTTTTTAACACAACCCCCAACCCTACTTCAACTTATCAGCCCCCCCCCCCCCCCCAAACCCTTCTCCCCCCAAAATCTTCTCAACAGAGGCGCCACCTCCGCCAAAGTATTGTCATTGCTTGTTGCGCCTTACATAATTTCATCAAGATTCATGCCGAAGATGATAAACTATTTCATGAATATGAAAATTATGAAGATGAAGAAGGTTCGACTTCTGGGGTTGAACTACCACTCATTGAGTTCAACGTCAGCTATGCAGCAACATGTGAGATGACCGAGAAGCGTGATGCCATTGCTAACCAATTATGGAGTGATAATCGTGTTTAGTATTATTTTTTATGTAGGGAACATGAAAGATGTTAGGTAAATTGAATTTTGTGAGACTTTGCTTAATATTGAGGACATATCTCTTTTTTCTGGTTTTTAGTTCTTACAGTAGTAACTAAACGCGTTTTTGTTTCTTGTTGTCAGCTTTCATGATTTTTCAGATTTATCAACTAAACAGGTTTGTGTTTTCTGTTTTTTTTCCTGTTGTGGTTGTACATCTGTTTACACAACACCACTGCAACCACAACAACAACAAAATGATACTAAACGGGCCCAAAAGTATTGAGGTGTTAGAATAGTAGTATTCCAATTTCAATTTTGTTTTCTTCAACTTTGTCTATTAAAAAAACTATGTTTTCAGCGGCGGATCCAGAACACAGAAGAGCACTAGGCCGCATTTCATTAGAAAATTAGAATCGTAAAAAATATAATGATTATAGTTTTTTGCAATGTAAATTGTACATGACTGTATTTTAATTTAGGGAATGCATCAATAATGAAGTCTACATACATACCAATAGTATACACTGTTTCAAATAAAATACTTGAGCAATCGGCGAGAAATTCATCGCTCATTTTGTTGAGCAAATCAGTTCTCACATGTTTCATTGTTAAAAAGGTTCTCTTCATAGTAGCTGTTGAAACGAGCATCATCAACACTACATAAATCAATCGACTAATCAATTTGCATTCTGTGTCCATCCCTGCACTCCAGCTGCTTTAGTAAATTTGTAAGGGAACAAACCTAATATTTCTTTTAGTCTTTTACGTTTTAAACATTTTAGAATTTTAGGTTTCATTATATTTTAAGACACATAATTTTTTGGGCTAAAATTTCTAGGCTAAATTTAGAATAGTGATCTGAATATGTTCAACTTGATAATTTTTCTAGTTAAACCCAATCTTATCATAGAATAACACTGGGTCGAATGTCTAAAATCAAAATTGTCATAAGGACTATAGTAACTACGGATCCAGAGGAGGGCTGGGCCGGGGCCTGGGGTGGCCACCCCCTGGATCCGCCAGTGTATGTTTTAGAACCAGCTAGCCGAATCATAAATATCGATTCCAAACGATAGGTGGCTTAGTGATACAAAATGGTTTAATTAAAGTTCAACCATGATTTTTGTATTAAGATATTACTAACTTGTTCAATATAACTTTCGATATAATTTCACAATCATTGAAAAATACACCTACTTCTAGCAATGCAGCAAACAAACCCGGCCAAAGTGTAAATAATAAATACATACAGCCAGCAACAGGAGCACAATGGGATCAAGAGAATCAAACAGCACATGTTCCTTCAATGCCGGCCATGGCCTGGACCATCAGCACCTGATTCTAATTCAATTAAAAATGAGCTGTAAATTGGTTTCTTCAACCTCTTTAATATCCACTTGGACCACTTCATAATCATAGCCTACCAATGGGTGCAGGCGTGCAGCCACCACTTTTATGGTGGTTAGGTCAAATCCCGTGAATTTTCAGCCTGTTATTCCCCTTGTCTTTGTTGGCAGATTTTGTTTGATTAACATAAATTCATAATTTTTAAATATGATACGCATAAATAAAGATAGATAGATAGATAGATATTAAAAACATTTTCATCGTTTACCTCAAATAATATCTTGAAATGGGCTGGGCCTGCAGTAATCGTAGACTACTTTGGGGCCGCGAAACAGGAACCAGGAAGAGGCAAAAATGAGCTGGGCTGGGCCTGCAGTGGGGATGTGAACTTAGTCTTTCGCACTCACCACCTACTACTCCTAACTTCCCCCACTGCGGTTCAGTTCCGACTACTACTACTTGTATACCTCATGGAGAGTCTCAGAACAAGTCAGTAACGGCAGACTTTGTTTCAGCTGCTCCTTCCTCCCTTCCGGCCAGCCTTGATTCCATCGGTTTCCCCGTCGTTACACATTTATAATAAATAGCTTTTTGGATTCCGAGATTACCTTTTCTTGCCTTCCCGCGCCGTCGCCGGATCCTCTGCATCGGTAAGCTCTCCTCTCTCCGTTCCTTCCATATACTCTTTTAGGGTTTTATTTTTCTGCCTCTTCTCAGATTTATCATCGATGAATATGTACCCGCCTCAGATCCCTTTTCTATCCTGTCCTCTGATGGTTGATGTTTTCTGATTCTCTTTTCTTTGCTTACAGCCAGCGCCAGCCGCCCAAAGGATGGCTACCTCTACCAACGTCTGTCTCCGCTCCGCCGCCATCCCACGCCACCATTCCCCGCAAGCGAACGATCTTCGGATCTCCTCCCCTTCCCTCTCCTTCCGACCCACCGCCCCCCATCCCGTCTCTCTCCGCGTCATCCACCCCACTCTCCGCCTCAAGCCTCCTGCTCTTGTTTTAGCCGCCGGAGGCGGCACCGGTGGATACAGCGGTGGTACCACCGGAGGAGGTGGAGGAGGGTGGAATGGAGGATCAGATTCCTCCTCGTCCTCCACTCCCTCCGGCCAAGGATTCGGGATACTAGGCCTATTCCTGAGCGGTTGGAGATTGAGAGTGGCTGCCGATCCCCAATTCCCATTCAAGGTCCTGATGGAGGAGCTGGTCGGCGTATCCGCCTGCGTACTAGGTGACATGGCTTCCCGCCCCAACTTCGGCCTCAACGAACTCGACTTCGTGTTCTCCACTCTCGTCGTGGGCTCCATCCTCAATTTCACCCTCATGTATCTGTTGGCGCCTACAGCTGCCGCCGGTGCCTCTGCCTCAGCTCTGCCGTCTTTGTTCGCCAATTGCCCCACCAGCCACATGTTCGAGCCAGGGGCCTACACACTGATGAACCGTCTGGGCACATTCGTCTACAAGGGAACCATCTTCGCTGCGGTTGGGTTTGCCGCTGGACTTGCAGGGACGGCACTGTCCAATGGGCTGATCAAGTTGAGGAAGAAGATGGATCCGAGCTTCGAGACCCCCAACAAGGCTCCCCCAACCCTGCTGAACTCGGTCACGTGGGCGCTGCACATGGGGATCAGCAGCAACTTGAGATACCAGACCTTGAATGGGGCGGAATTTGTGCTGGCCAATGCACTCCCTCCCGTGGCATTCAAGACGTCGGTGGTGGTGCTGCGGTGCTTGAACAATGTGATGGGTGGGATGTCCTTCGTTCTGCTGGCTAGAATGACGGGATCTCAGAGCGTTGGCCCTGCCAAACCCATCGAGGAGGAGCCGGAGAAGGAGAAACTGCTCGATGATTAGTTTGATAACAATAAGCAGAACTTGTCGAGACTGCATCAGCTTAGCTTATTTCCCTCGCTCTCCCTTGGATTGTGACTTCAGTACCAGCAGCAGGGTTTTGTTTATATGTGACATTATTGTTCAGTCATGGGATGAAATTGGTTCTGTCAATCCCATGGGCGAGTTTGTTTGGGTTAGGTTTTCTTTACGCATTGACTACTGCTTCAGCAGTAGAAGCTGTTTTAAGTAGGGTAGTAGCGGCCAAGTCTAGACAGGCTGCCGCCGGTACTGGCTTTCTTTCTGCTCCTCCACCGAGTTTCCAAACTCTTGGGAGGTATGCGAGTGTTTGTTTTGTTTTGTTTTAGCTGTACCTTATGGCTGATGGCTGATGCTTAATAAATGGGTGATCGATCCACCACTGCATTTTCATTTCAATGCACTCGAGTGTATTGCCTTGTTCATCATCGTAGATTTCAATATCTTGGGTGCCTCATACTGAGGCTTCCTACTCAATGTAATGTCGAAGAGAAGGTGCCAATTTCAGGGCCATTGAATATACAAGATACGCACAGAATGTAGAACACAATATTTCATTTCTCAAATCAGTCTCAGAGAAGATTGCATGTCACAGAAGACACAATTGTACAATTTTACAAATGCAGCAGTATACACCATGTACCTCCAAATCTATGCTTAGTTTACCAAATCGACCCTATATCTCTATCAAATAAGTGGACTTTGTTTCTCCCTTTCCCCTTCCCTCATCTGACTGCCTCCGGAGCAGAATTACAGTAAGGAGTGTGGAGACACACCAGCTTAGTACAAGTCAAACACAGTACAGCAAACCCAACTCCAACTCCTACACCAATGCTTGTTTTTCGCGAATCCAATCGGCTGGCTCTCATCACAATGGTTGCAAAGCTTGGGAACAAACCTCCACATGCAAAAACCATCACATGATCCAGACCACTATAATCGATTCCTGCAAGTATCGATCCAATTGCAGACATCGGGCCAACAAACCCAATCAAAGCAGCTGCTGCCAGTCCACTCTGCCAGCTGTCAGTGGCCCCAAAGATGCAGCTGGCGACAGCTGCGCCCCTGGGGAGACCGTGCAAGGAAACAGGAAGAACCATGTGCCGTCCGAGCCCATAAGCTTTTGGGGCAGCCACTCCGAGGGCGAGTCCTTCGGCCAATGCATGCAACCCAACTGTTCCACAAGAGAGGAATGCTTGAAGGGTGTGAATGCTCATTGGAAAGCCAGAAACGGAAGGCAAGTTGTTAGCTGATACTTTCTTGCGACCCCCAAAACCAAGGACACTGGAGCCTAGGGTATGGGTGAATGCTGCTCCTGTTGTTAGTAAGAATGCGAGAGGTATGAATCCCATCTTTGAAGATACAAGCAGCTGCAATGGTCGCCACACAGCAAGAACAAAAGCAATTCCAGATGCTGAACCCATAAGGAGGGCATGTTGGAGACGGAATGCAAGAGCAAATGCCACAAGGATTATGCCACCAAGCAATGGACCAAGACCGAAAAGCAACGACACGAAGAAGCCAGAAGCATCCTCTGAGCTGCAACATAAAGTGCAACATAGTCGGCATTCGAAGCCACCATAATAACATAGAATCACTTTGGCTTTAAACAAAGACAGTATTAATACGGAAAGGTCTGAGATATGGCAAAAACACTCGCATCAAGAGCTTGGAAGCAAAACTGAACTCTTGGTTACAAGAAAGACTCATGAAAAAACAAGGAGCAAAGCAGCACAAAACGAATGTTCTTGGAGGAGACAAGGTGCAACTTAATGTAAGACTACCAATATTAAAGCACCTTAAATAAGAAAGCATACAACTTTAGAGTTTTCAGCATATTACTGCCTCCATTCTTCCTAACTGGCATTAGGTTCTAGGATTTTATCCTTCTTTCCTCATCTTCAGAACACCAGAACTTTTTTGTTTTTGTTTTATAGTAGTTCCTAGTGCAACTCAAGCATATAACAATAAGTGAAGGAGAATAATACAACAGATTCTGTCTAGCTTAATGTTGGAGGTTGTGTTTCTTCATATTTGTGATACTGAGGTCTCACTTCAATAATCATACATGTAGGAGCAGCTATTGGAAACCTAGTACTAAGTATAGGGATAAAAGTGATTCCGGTAAGAGAGATTCCAAGCGACACAGTGAGGAGCAAGTGCTTATTGAACAAAGCAAACCGTCTACATTAGCAAACATGAGGTTTGCATAATCTGCAATTATATAATTCACGGACATCTCTTTTAAGTAACCAAACTAGATCATCTGCATTATCATATAACACAAATGGAACTTAGCAAAATAAGACAATAACGGAGAAGTTCAGGGGTAAGTGCACATAAGCATTGTGGAACTAGACTAAGAGTTGTGAACTCCAGATATCTTCTCACTTCATTTGGAGAGAGAAAAGTAGGTCTCAACTCACTTATAATCATGGCTGAAATTCTGGAACAAAGTGCTGAGTGCTTCCATAAATGCAACTGATACTGTAGCTGCTGATGCCACTTGAGACGGAGAAGCTTCCTAGTACCAGAAAATAAAATTTAATGGCCTCAACATAGATAGAACTCAGAGCACAATCTGAAATGAACAGGAGAGTTTTCCTATGATTGCTTGATTCCAGACAAAAGCTGGAAAAGCAAATATCCAGAACAGCAGTACTTTTGGCATCACCTCAAGTCCTCAACACATTATTGCATGTGGATGAAGTAAGGTAGGAAAGTCACAAGCTCATGCATGAAGAGACGTTATGAATTATATAACTTCTCTCCAAATCTAGTCAAAACCATAGCAAAATTTGTGTTCTAGCTTCAAAACATGAACTTGTAAAACCATCCAAAGGACCTGTACTGACTAGGAGAAACCGAGCGAGTCACAATCATGTTCTGGAAGGGATACATTCGCATGAAATCAGTGAGCCAAATTACCTTGAAGGCATCAGGAAGGACCTCAGCAACAACCATCCAGATCATACATCCAGCAGCAAAACCGGTGCAAAAGGGTAGGAACTTGTTAAAGGAATCAGCACAGATGAATGAAGGAACCGCTACTATGGGCTGCAATGAACAACCTGAATTTGTCACTAATTGCTAATGCAATGGTGGAAGTTGTATTAGAATGAAACTTAACATGACACACATAGCTAAGGTACAGCCTTGGTGGATGTTTTTAATTCAAATTTGGTGGTTCGTCCCATAATCATATATTGTGCTTACTTGCATCCTAGTCCAGGAAGGAATGAGCCTACTGCAGGGCCAGCACATCCCAATCCAGGATCCACACTATCCACCAATGCAATGCTGGACGTTGTATTAGAATGCAACTTAAGATGACACCCATGCTGTTATCATATGACTAGAGATCGTGTGACAGTAGCGATCCATTTGAACATATCTCCTTATGGCTAATAGCGTAGTGAAGCTGAGACAAGATGTGACTGACTTCCACAAACACGAATAATGTGTTGCAAAAGAATGATGTTTTACCTGCGGCAAGGAAGTAATGACACTCCACAACATAGCATTCTGAGGAGAAACGCCCCTTGATGCAAGAACCATACTTACAGCCAATCCCTCGGGTATGTTGTGGACAGCAATGGCAAGTGTCACCAAAAGCCCTTGAGAGAAACCCTTTGAGCCAGCAAAGGACACCCCAACTCCCGAGCCTTCTCCAAATGAGTGAAGAGTCATAATTCCAATAACAAGGACTACTTTGGTTGCGTCAGCCCCTTTGATATCCAGCATGCTGACTTCTCCATATCGTTCCAGGAACTGCAAGAGCCAAAAGAGAAATGGGATCTGCAATCTGGGATTTTCAAAACTTAAAAAGTAAGGATTTTTGTGTTTTCGTTTTACCTTCTTACAGAGCAAGATGAAGACGCCACCGGACAAAATTCCGATCATGACCCAGCTGCCAGCTCCATGTGCCTGGCCTTCCTGAACGAGATCAAAACTAGCAGCCAGCATGACTCCAGCGGCCATGCCGTTGCACAAGCCAGCCCACTGAGGATCCAGCTCGACAAAGAAAAATGGGAGAGCACCCAAGCCGGTGGCAGCAGCCATGGCCAAGGTAAACAAAGCAACAGTAGAAATGGCGACCCCATTGTGATTGGTAGGATGGGTGGATGCATCGTCGAATGTCGCGGTATCATCCTGAGTAGCAGCGCCGGTGCCATCTATGACGGAGCTGCGGGCATTCTTATGAGGAGCGGACGGAAGGGTCGTCGTAGTAGTAGAAGGATTCTGGGAAAGGGCAACAGCAGAGAAGAGGAGGATGATGATGCCGATGAAGGGAATCATGCGGAGTGGTGTGGAGAATGGAGCCATGATGGAAGGGAAGAGGGGCTAGTTGGTGGACGGAATTCTGGCAGCGGCAGCAGAATAAGCATCAAGAAGTTGAGGTGAAGCAGAGGATCAAAGATTCGATATGCTAAACAAGGAATTGGAATTGGGATTGAGTGAATTTTGCAGATTTGCAGAGTTGACGGGAAAAGCAAGATAGATGATAATTGCCTAACCTGATTTCGTACGCTGACGCTGTCGCTCGTTAATCAATAGTTCAATCCCATTCCGCCGCCATTGCAATACAAATTACAGCCGGAAACCAGAGTTAGAAAGCAAACACCAGCAGCATTAGCAACTGTAGGGATGGGGATTGGGGGCGCACGGAATTAGGGCCTTTGATCAGACGACAATAATCGAATGAAACGCAATCCAAATAAACACTGAGAGAGAAAGGGATAAAAGTTTAATTGCCTCTCCTTTCTGCCCGCGGCGAGGAAGGAGAAGCAAAATTATTGGATGAAAAGGAAGGAAAAAAAAACCAGAGGGAATAAACTGTGGGCGTTCTGTCGTTTATGGTTAGCATCGACGAAGAAGAAGAGAGACGAAGGGAGGTGACTGTTCGAAAGGAAAAAACTATGAAACGCCGTAGAAACGGCAAATTTCATGGGAAAATATGGACGCAGTTATTCGTGGGGCCTAAAAGGAAGGAGAGAGCCCTGCCACCAAAAACTGCGGAAAGAACAAAGAAACGCGAAAAGTTTCCAATACGAAAGGCGATATGTTTACTTTTAACGATATGCCGACTTGAGAAGAAACGGGTTCCTCGAAACGCCGAAACTTGAAAGGCTCTCTTTGCATTATATGTACTAGCACATGAACCGGTCCGTTGGCCGGGAGAATTTTGTTAAAAAATATGGTATATAATAATGGATAAACTATATGAAATAAATACTTGTACCTTAGTTATGCACATAATATTTTTAAAAATAATCCAACTATGTATAATGTGTTTGGTCCTCTATGAAAAGAGAAAAAAGTATGGTATAAGCATAACATGTAATTATTGAATGAAAAAAGAAATAAATAAACTAATTGTCATTCGTTGTTTAATTAAATCATATAGTTGAACATTAGAGTTGCTTCTCATAATACATAATTAATCAACATTTAGGATGAAAAAAAAATATCTCATAGAGTTTAGTATGTCCTTTAAATTATTTTCCAATAGAGATCATTCTTTTTTACCACACGGTTGGTAATGAATATGAAGTTGCTTGATTAGAAATATATAAACCATGATGTTAAGTTTTCGCTAATAGTTAGTTGAACAGTGTATTGTGTACGGACTTCCCAAATTACTCTCATGACACAAACATGTCTAGCAACAATGTAATAATTTTCACTGTAGCAAATATTTTTTTCATGAAGTAATTCAATAAATAAAAAATCTATGAACATCATATTATATGAAATATATGCTACTCATAAAGTTGACGAATGAGCGAGGATAAGAGTAGTATACACTTATTTTAAAAAGATATAAGTTGCAAAGTGTCATTTGGGTTGAATGAGATCGCATATTCTCGTTATCGCTAACTCAATTATGCTTTTTTGCAATAGATTGTTCAAAATGTGCCTTAAAACTTTTATTTCCACCCGAAGTCATAATTTAACCGTGGTTCAATCGTTTTATATTGCTAAATATCACCTACCAATCTAGCCTATGGTGTGGAGTTTTATGGTCGAACCACCAGTAGGTACGATCTTTCAATTCAAACTTTAAATAGAAAAATCACTAAAATGTTGACATTATCAAATACCCCCTAAATCTCACAAATTACAATAGTCATATTAAGGAAAAAATCATCCAAATGATAATATTGATTTAGGATTTATTGAAATGGGAAAAATCTGTCAAATATAATGTCATCCCCTAAAATAAATCAAAACTCAACAGAAGATGACTAACAATACCCTCTGAGCAAAGGAGAAGGACAATTATTTCACACTACATTATTTTCCCCCTCTTTTAAATGTGTTCTCTTACTCTCTTTTTGTCTTCCTCTTTCTTTTTTCATTTGTTCTTCCATCTCTATCTCTCAGTTTTATATCTCACCACTCTCCCCCTTCCCTTACTCTTTCTTCCCACCGCCTAGAATCGAGAGAAATCGAGAAACATCTCAATTACTTCTCGAATTTTGCGTTCGAAATGTTTCTTCTCCATTCATAGTCTATAGTGTGAATCAGAGCACATGAAACCAGGCGACATTTGAGCGTTTATTCCTCGATGGAGCAAAGTAGTTTGATAGTTTGTGAATAAACTAATTACTAAAAGTGATAAAAACAACAATCGTTAAATCAATTGAGTGAGTGTATAGTTAGTTCATCGCTTAAACCATTTTATTTATCAAAAGAATCAAAATGCATAATCAGGTTCATCTTCACTTATTTACATGTATTTGTCGTACAAATTTTTTACACATAAAAAATTATTTTGAACCAGCATATCGAACTAAATCTCATCTTATGATTATTGGATATAATCATGTCAGATTAGAAAGAGCTCTAAAGCTATTGGTCAACTGTGCTGAAAATTAATAATAATATAATTATATATCTCTTCCAAATGTTCAATACTCCAATTCAATATGCAATATTCGAACAAATGATATATTTTCAACCCCTTCCACAAAGTTTTTAGACCAAAAAAACTCCCCCCAAACTCACACACATTTGAAAAGAGATACTAAATCTCAATCTCTTCTTCACTTTAGTTGCTTCTAAAGTTATTGTTGACGTTATTTGTTATTACTGCAGGCTGTAAATTAGACTTTTCAGCTCTGAAGTTAATCAAGAATGAGTTTATAAATGAGTGTTTAGTTGTATAAATTGGAAAAGGTTTGAGTCTCAAAATAAACAATGAATGTATTTTATAAACCTTTTAGAATATGAGCCGTCACATGTTGATGTGAAAAACTACTCATTAATTGAAATTTCAAATGTTATTTTTATAATATTTTATTTTATTTTTTTATCAAATGACGCATTTCTTCTTAAAACATGAGATTCACCAATATAGACTGTGTGGTGCTCAAACTTGTGCGCGAGGCCTTAAAGTTTAACGTTTAGCAGTTAACCAGGCTAAAAGTTTAGAGAACCATTCACCTGTCGTTTGTACAAAATATTATTGCTTCGTAGTAGATTTGAAAATTTATATTAATTTTAAGAATTCTACATGGTTTTTGCATATTCAGTGCTGCAATTCGATATGCATTATTTCAAGCAATGAAATTTGGGTTGAAATTTTAAGATTATCCAAAATTGTATAGGTTATAAAAAATTATAAATCACGTATCAAACTTTGCTTTTCAGAAGATTTAATAGGCTAGCTAACCGTGATGGAAAAGTCATCTGCTTTTCAAATCTTCACTTAGTGTATGTTTACAATTCAAGTAGATAAAATAAATTTGTTTAGTGTAATTGGTTGTGATTATTGTTTTTGTTTGAAGAGACCATGGTTCAAATATTGATATTGATACTTTTTTATATGAAGTAGATAAATAATTGTGATGACAAACTTACTCTATGGTGGCGACATGTCATGGTCACTGAGACCTCCCCATTCCACATTCTCCAACGCGTCTGTTTACTTAGGAGAATCTGGAAGTCTAGAAATGAAGTGACCTTTGAATCTACCCAACCTCATATTCGTTCCTTAGCCAGACAGTTCTACAACCAGGTCCTCGAAATTTCCAGTCTCCTTCCCCCTCCTCCCCGCAGCTCCCTACTCCCAAACATTTCAGCCACCTCTTGGGTCCCTCCACCAGAAGGCTTTTTGAAGATCAACGTCGACGCAGCGGTTAGTGCCTCCGGGTGTTCGATTGGACTTGTTATCCGGGGCTCAGATGGACATGTGAGGTTGGCGGTCGGGTTGCAGCATCAAGGAATAGTCAACCCTTATCTAGCTGAGCTTCTAGCTTTCAGGGATGCTATCTCCTTTGTAGCCTCAAGATCCTTGTCCCACGTGATAGTCGAAGGCGACTCCGAAGTGGTTGTCAACCAAGTCCGTCAAGGCGTCTTAGAAGACTCGATTGGTGGTCCGGTGTTACGAGAGTGTCTCCAGATCCTTAGCTCTTTGTCTGTTTGTATAGAGTTTAGGGCGGTACCTAGATCCGCCAACAGTGCTGCCCATAGAGTGGCGCGTAAAGCACTGCTTTTGTCTCTTGTAGAGCTAGAATCTTTTGATTTCTTGGGGGTAGCTTCAGTAGAGTCTTTTAGGGGTCCTGGGTAGAATTGTAAGCTTAATTATTATTTCTCATTGATATAACTCAGAAATAATATTAAAAAAAAACTTACTCTTTCTACTTTCACTCTCAATTCACGAAATTTCAAATGAAAAATCGTAAAACATTAAATGTATCTTATAGTAAGAGCTTCTCCAACCAAATAGGAAATGTATCTTATAGAAAGTGATTAGTTGTGAAATCGAAACTGAAATAATATTGATTCAAACATTAAATATTAAATTGTATCATATGTATGGTTCAGTTTAGACAAAATACATATGGTGTAGCCAAAACATGGACCTTTGTGACAAATATAGTAATTATTTGTGACAATCTACACATAATATAAAGATAAATTGGGCGCAATGACGAAAAAGAGCTTTCCTAGGATCACTCTCATACCAGAAAATTTGAAATGAGACTCTCATTTTTCATTTTTATCATTATATTATTTGTACATTTGTCACAAAAAATGAATATACTTGTCACAAAGGTCCATGTATTGGTTACACTTCTGTATTTTGTCTAAACCAAACTACACATACAATTTAATATTAATGTTTGAATGAATGTTACTTGAGTTCCAATTTCAGAAATAATCTCTTTCCATAAAATAACTTAAGATAAAATATAAATATAGAAGCATCATCACCAAATATATTTCTAGATTTTTAATAAAAAAATACTTATAAGACAATGTATCGTAGTTGGTTACAATGTTATTTCTTCATTGAATTGACCAGGGTAATTAATTAACTACTCACTGAAACTATTTATGACAAAAAAATGACCTTCTTAGAATTACTCTCAGGCCACGAAATTTGAAATGAGACAATTTCAACCCATGTTTTGTCATTATATATATATTGTAGATCACCTGAAAAGGTTTTTATCTTGTATCTATTTGTTCCCGCTTGTAATATTTATGACAAAAAAATAGAGGGTAATTAATTAACTACTCACTGAAACTAATTATTCATTTGATGGAGGCAGGATTCGAAATACCCGTATCCTCACTTTATAATGTTGATATATAATTCATTATTAATAAATATATTTAAAATTAATAATATTCAAATAAGTCATTCATAGATAATCAAGAAATAACTAACTAATTCAAGAATTATTTACATAAACAACTATGACACATTTTCATACTCTGAAAGAAACACAATATACATTCATTGTCTACACACTTAAATAAGTAATTTTTAATGTATTTCATTAAACATTCGTTAGCAAAGTGATCACCAAATTTGGCTTCGAACCTTGTACTTAACATAGTTCAAAGCTAAAAATGCTCTTGCTACACTTAGCACAAAATCGATTTGACCTAAGGAGAGTGATATCAGTTGATTAGATATTTCAAT